TCAAGGTTTTCAGGACTGATGTTGCAGGTCTTCAAGTCACGCATGCAGACATCCTTGTAGCGCAGAGTTGGTCGTCCTGTTGGCCTCGTCCCTATGGCGAGCTCACCATACATGATGTCCTTTGGGATGCGTCCATCATCCATTCTGCATACATGGCCGAGCCAGCGCAGTCGCCTCTGGGTCAGCATGGCATACATGCTGGGTAGACCTGCCCGTGATAGGACCTCTGCATTTGTGATGCGGTCTTGCCAGGTGATGCCAAGGAGTCGTCTAAGGCAGCGCATGTGAAAGGCATTCAACCTGCATTCTTGGTGGGAGTAGAGGGTCCATGTCTCACTACCGTAGAGAAGGGTGCCCAGTATGCAGGCTTGGTACACCTTCATCTTTGTGTCGATGGTTAACAGGGAATTGTCCCAAACTCTCTTTGCGAGGCGAGCCATTGCCGTTGCTGCTTTTCCTATCCGAACATTGAGCTCAGAGTCCAGGGATAGGTTGCTGGAGATACAGGAGCCAAGGTAGGTGAAGTTGTCGACTACCTCTAGGGCGTGCTCGCCAATGGTGATGTGTGGGGTGACGCTGACATCTTGCCCATGATGTTAGTCTTTTTCAGGCTGATGGTTAGGCCAAAGTCATTGCAGGCTTCCGCAAAGCGTGTGATAAGCCACTGCAGTGCCTCCTCGGTGTGGGCGGTGAGGGCAGCATCATCCGCAAACAACATCTCCCTGATGAGAACTCTGCACACTTTGGTCTTAGCACGGAGGCGGGCCAAGTTGAAGAGGTTCCCGTCGCTCCTGGTGTGGAGGAAGATGCCATCTTCAGACTCGCGGAAGGTATAGCACAAGAGAAGGGAGAAGAACACACTGAAAAGTGTCGGGGCCAGGACACACCCTTGCTTCACGCCGTTCTTGATTGGAATTGCTGATACGGGGGCGTCCTTGCTGTTTGGAGCGGTGAATGCGCTTGGGCTGGAGACGCACCTTGCTGCAGATCAGGGAGTGGTCCGTGTTGCAGTCGGCACCGTGGTAGGTGCGAGTGATGAGCACGTGGTTGAGCAGGGACCTCCTGGTGATGACGAAGTCCAACTGGTGCCAGTGCTTGGATCTGGGGTGTCTGCAGGACACTCTGTGCTGCGGTTTAGTGGAGAAGAAGGTGTTGGTGATGCACAGACCATGGAAAGTGCAGAGTACAAGTAGCCGCTGTCCGTTCTCGTTAAGCTTGCCCACTCTGAAGTGTCCTATGCATCGCGGCCAAGAGTTGTGGTCTGAGCCTACCCGGGCGTTGAAGTCTCCAAGAAGGAACAGGTCTTCTTTCTGTGGGATCTCTCTGATCTTGGCCTCAAGCTCCTCATAGAATGCATCCTTAGCCTCGGCTGTAGCGCAGAGTGTGGGGGCGTAGACGCTGAAGATGTTTGCTGGTCCAGAGGGGGTTGAGAGGCGGAGAGAGAGGATCCTTGCGGTCCCCTGAGAGGGAGGCTCCATTGAAGACAGGAGGGTGTTGCGCACTGCGAGTCCGACCCCGTAGAGGCGGCGCTCTTCTGGCTTGAGTCCCTGCCAGAAGAAGGTGTAGTCCTTCTCCTTGAGACTGCCACTTGCGGGGAGGTGTGTCTCCTGAAGGGCGGCGATGTCGACCTTAAGTTTGGACAGCTCACAGTCGATGATGGCGGTTTTCCTGGCATCATGGATTTGCTGGAGGTCGTCAGAGAGGCCAGGACACATTGTTCTGACGTTCCAAGTAGCAAGCTGTAAGGCTGGTGATTTCTTGTTTCTTTGTTGTTTGCCTGGTGCGGGGGCTTTACAACCTGCCTGTCGGTTTTGCCTAAGCTCCAAGCACCCAATGGAGCAAGCAAGTTGTGGCGGGTAGCAACTCAATTGTCCGGGGGCTGCCCGGCTTGAGGCGGGTGTTAGCTACCCAATGGGGCTCGATGATCCCTCCCACTGTCGAGAGCAACCCCTGGCGCCCGGCTCTACGCCAAACGAGCCTGGACCTATAACCGGTAGACTACTGCTCTCCGTGTTGTGCTTACGCTGGTCAGCGAAGCTGGAGTGACCTCTCCAGGTGCAGGCCTGGGCGGAAGATATGGAAATCCTGGTGTGCCCAGTCGCCAGGATCCCCCTCTCGGCGTTGCTGGTAGGGTCCAACGGAAAGGAAGAGCTGATACGGTCGGTGCCAGCGCAGCTGCAGGAGTTGCTGGAAGGTTTCACATTGTTCCACCAGCTGCCTACGGGTCTCCACTCCGGATTTTCTGTCAGGGTTTACTCCCATAGCCTTCGCTTCTCCCAAAGCAACCACAAGGCAGTGGTGGTTCTGCGGCAGGTAGTACTGGGTTACAGGGTACCATTAGCAGGCAAAAGATGTACCTGACCAGAATACCATCAATGATAATGATAACAATAATAATAGCAATAATAATAACAGTAATAACAAGGGGTATGATTAGCAAGGGGTATGATTAGCAAGGGCTTCAGCCTACTACGGGAAGTTGGAGGCTCCCACCCTTCTTAGTCTGGGGTAGTAATCTTGTGATTTTGGTATGAATCAATCAGTCTGTCAATAGATTACACAGAGAAGGATGTTCAACGAAACAACTTGAACTGTAAGTATCTCAGCTTAACTCTTGTGTTAAATATCCTGACTGTTTTGTTTGTTTTCATTGTCATAAATGCTTGTAAACGATTTGATATTGCTAACATTATCACTGCCATTGTTGTACTATCATTCGATTGACCGATGTCACGCAAACTTCGTTCACCGGCACACCAGAACATGTTTTCGTTAACCGGTACACAAGGATATAGCCGATTTGTACCTCCCGCGGATTTGTAGCAATAAATCTTTGCATATCACTAACTGTTTTATTTTTTCCAAATTAGGACTGAAATACCCAAAGGCACTCCAATCTTTGCTTTCCATGAATCAAGTAAACATTTAAACGATAAAATTCTCATTAAAATGTAAATTTCTTCAGTCCATTTGAATAACTTTCGATTCTAATTCGTTACATCAACTAATTTTGGTTCCAACTTGTAGAACTTGCGAAACAGGTCGTACGACAAAGAGAAAAGTTTGCACAATCACGTCACGCAATACATCAAGCTGGGTTTGTCCAGTTGATTTTGATGGTCGCAGGGAGATGTCGAGTTTGTCGCTCAAAACCGTTGTGGTCCATAAGAGCGTAATATCATTAAATACGAAAACAAATTTGCAGAAAGGAGGGTTAGTTCATCACGTTTACGCAACGATTTAGGACAACTCGGCATCTAATCTCCATTCAGTTGCTGTGAAAACCTAAAATTCTCAGCGTAGAAGATAAACGAACGAAGTTTGAACGGTCAAAAGGAGATCTTGGTCAATTCTAAGGATCATGCAAATAATCTTTGACACGAGCGCAGTTGAGCAAACACGTGGATTTGCGTTGTTTTTAAGAAGTTGGTGGATGGAAGCTAGAGATATACCCGCGGGTTTGAGGCAATTTCTGACCTCATTGGTGTATAAACTATGCACTGATATGCTTTTTCAGCCCGATTAACGCCTTCGTTTTGAGAATTCTTTCGTACAAAGTAGTGAGTTTTTGATATGCAAATTAAGTTCCAAGAGAAGGGTCTCCTCTGATCACGCTGGTACGAAAAATATTTCAGCTGAAGTTTCCATATTTTGTCTGTGAACTAACTGAATACACCTTGTAACTTGTAGTAAGGTAGAATTCCGTGAGCTACATTGTTGCAGTCGCTGCGCGCTGGACAAAATCTTTGAAATTTACACTTTCGATCGCTGTCCACATGGGTGGTCTTGCCAAAAATCATTTTTGGCTCGTGGCGACACAAAAAAAGAGAATTGGAGAACAACTAAACTATTTTTGAAACATGTGTCCTAAACCCTTTTCATGGGCAAAAAATAAAAGAAAACTTTTTTCCGACGGGAAGTCGCGAGGACCGCTCTTAGCGGGAGCGGCATTTAATAAGCACATGGCATGGTGTGATGGCGGACGAAGATAAGCTTTCGCGGTGCAAAATCAGCACAGACACCGTGTATAATACGCTCAAAACACATGAAAAATTTGCATACATCGTCCGCAGTAGACCCGCATTAAAAGATGTCGAGCGTTTTCGGAACGGGTCGGTCCACGAACCGTAAGAGATCTCTATGAGCGAACATTTATGAATGAACTTTCATCGAGAAACGTGCTACATCAACTGAGGTATCTAATGTTAATCGAGGGAAGCTTAGACACAAATCTCATCGTGTATGTAGACGTGATCGTGAACCAAGCAGAATGCCAATACGAAGTTTGAAAAGGTTTAGGAACAAGAGCCGAGAGGTTAGAAATTTTGTTTGTGCACATATTCTCCCATGGAATTGCGGTGATTTCGCCAACGTCACGTTCGCCAAAGTCTTTGGTCGCTTCGCCAACGAGATGAGTCGCTTGGCCAACGTCCTACTGGTCACTTCGCCAACGCCAAATATCTGGTAATAACTTAGTAATAGCTTAGTTAAAAGGGTGCTTACTGATGCTTCGGATGTAATGCTGATACTTGGGTCAGAACAATTTTAAGTTAATGCTAGTCAATTTTTAAGTTAATGTGAGCACTAACATCGCGGTAATTTAAAACTGTTGAATAACAAACTCCGATGGCTTCCAAATGTGTTCCAAAAATGTATAACTCAAAATTTTACTTTAAAAATGCGTTACGATGTGAATTAACGAGTTAACATTTTTCAGAAACAATCAGAGTTTGTTTTCCAGCCATCAAAACGAGTCAGAAATAAAATATAACAAGTATAATATCAACAACATTTTAATTACAATACGTACTTTTATAAATATTTACAAGTGCAAAATATTTTATTCAAAACCTATTTACAAAACCTTCTGATTAACAAAATATTTTCAATGCAAAACTTATTTACAAAACCTTCTGATTCAAAAAAATGCTTTAGTCAAAACCTATTTACAAAACCTTCTGATTCTCAGCTTACTTCACGCCAGATCAGTTCGTTCATGATCAGTTAGAGCGCGCTGGTCCACACAAACGCGAGCACGTCCTGAGTAGTTGAGCAGCGGTTTTCTCGTTGTTCTCATACTTCTCCCAACTTGCGAATAGTTTTGCCTGAATGTTTCTTGTTGTACGTCGTTGAATTCGTTTCAGTTTGTTGTCAGAGACCAGCCTAATTGTAATAGCTGTGAGTTTTGCCTTCCGATCAAGTAACTCAATTAAAAGATATAAGGGCAAACCGCATTGTCCTCCAGCTCTGCGATTGAGGGCGTTATGCCAGCCTTCCAGGTCGTTATTTGTGCGGACGGGCTCCTTGTACACGCACCAGTTTCTTGGGGTGAATACTTCACTCTCAATCCACTGTCGTCGGATGTACTGGAAAAGTCTCCCCAGCTGGTCGGTTTGGGCCTGCTCCTCGAGTAGGTCGAACATCGGTTGGATTTCCGGATACGGGAGGAACGGGAGGGCCATTAGCTTCCTGATGTACTTGTAAACGGAATCGTCGTCCATGTACGCCCTTTGGAGGCCAAGCTCTTGTACCTTAAAGTAAAAAATGGTAAAAAATGTGTAAATAAAGTACAGTAAAAACCCGTGACCCGCATTTTAGACGATAATGGATTTTAAGTAAGTTCATTTTAAGTAAGTTCACTGTCACATGATAGAAGAAACTAAATAACATTGGTCACGGTTCAGTTTTGGTCAGTGTAAGGAGTTTTTTTTTTACTTTTAGGAGATGTCTTCTGTTAGGTGTAAGATAAGCAACAACAGTTGTATAAAAGAGAAATTAGATCCTCCATCAACTTATAATCCTGGCCCAGGTCTCTACTATTTAGAGTATCAGAGTATATATAAGTAAATATAAATTACCGGTGTTACACATTCGATGGTTCCAGCGAAAACATCCATCGCACTGAACCGCTTGCTGCCGAGGCCGTACCAGTTCGTGACAAACAATACAGTTTAAAATCTGCGCAGTAGCCATCCTGATATTAAAAGTATTCCGAGATAAAGGTTTCCGAGATAATTCGTTATGAGTCGTAGAGTGTCGTAATCGTATGATTGAAATGAACATTCTTCGCATGCCAGTGTGTTTTATACACTTCGAAGGATCGAAATATCATACCAGTTAGTTTCAAGCAATTGGATTGGTTTATTTAGAACAATAGTGTAAAATTAACAAGTTTTAACACAATGAGTTTACGCGTCTATTCATATGGTAATATACAAGCGTGTGTTTCTTGTAATACTTATATACTCTTGATCGAAGTTATAATATGCGCTGGAGTTATAGAATTAGTAGTAGTAGTAGTCTACAATGTATTTATATAAATCTCTGTTCTAGAAGTCTCAAAGGTAATTATATAAATCTCTGTTATCGACAAATAAATCTTATAGAAGAACTTAAGGAAAAGGTTGCACACACGCGACTTTATTGCTCTAAGTTAAATTCAGCAACATACAGCGCCGGTGACGCGCGGCGTGCCGTGCATTTATGTGGGCCCACTGTGTTTTAAGTTGCGCGTACAAGAGAAGGAAACTAAGTCCGAAAAAAATAACGGAAGGAAACTAAGTTCGAACGGGGAAATGAAGTCAGCTCAGTCAAGTAAACAACACACAGAAGCAAGAAGAAGTAATGGTAAATTTTTATTTAGAGTAAACTAATACATTGGCGAAGTGACCAGTAGGACGTTGGCCAAGCGACCAAAGACGTTGGCGAACGTGACGTTGGCGAAATCACTCGTTGGCGAAATCACCAGATACCCTCTCATGTTATGTTACTGTTACTGTTATGTTAATGCTGAAAACTATTAAATAAAAGGACTTTTAAGTTTAACTGTCGTGGAAGAATTCGTCAACGTATAAGAAAGGTAAAATGTCGTGCCAGTCGATATTTCACATTCTTTTCTCGCAACAAACTGATGTGTTCTGGCAAGAATGAGGCTCGTGTAGCAAATTATTGCTATTATAAATTAAGTAGAGACACAGAAAAAAATCTTGACCCTCCAACATTAGTTGACCTTAATAAAACAACAGTAGCTCCATATAGTCAAGGTAACGAGTTAGTTTTTGGACAAAACGTGGGACAAAAATCTGTTGCAATGAATTTATGTTCTTTGATTTACAATAACACACAAGGGATCAGCTCTGCAAATGATCTTTTACAAATAATGAATATTGGAAATCAGCTTTATTCAAGTTTGTTACAATTAGCCAGACAGGTATATTTAATGCAATCAGAATTACCAACAGCATTAAATGTGTTTGATACTGATTATTAACTGGAATACAGTGAAAGCTACTCTGGTACTGTTCACCAAGAAATTGCTATAGAGGGATATCAGTACTGTACCTCTTTAAAAAGAGCCTTTGAGTCGCTCATATCTGAAAGCTACACCAATTTCATATTAACAGTAGCGTGTATTGCTGTTGCAACCTATTGTAATAGTAATTTGGAGTTCAAAATATTTGATTCTCATGCTAGAGATTTGTATGGTAGAGGGTAGCCTCAAGGTAGATGTATTCTTCTTGAAGTACCATCTCTTTATAGTTTGGTGCATTATTTTCAGAGTATACATAGCAGTGATATATTTGAAGTGAGAGGAGTACAAATTGAGAATATTCAAAATAGGATGGTTTCTCAAAACAGTCTGAATGAAACCATAAACTTTAATCTAAGTTGTGCTGTAGCTCTATACTCTCTTTGCTACTCCATAATGATCAAAATATATGTATTCCCTCCTGCTTTATAATGAAAGAGTCACATCCCCTATTCAGTTCACTAAAAACATAAATGGAACAGCTTCACATGTTGATGCCATCCATTACAAAAATACAAGAGAAATATAACACTCTTGGGCAATACAGAAAACTGTTTGCTACATGTTCATGTAAAGTAGTTAACAGAACGGAAAGAAAAAACCTATGATTAATCATAGAAAAAAACAATACTATAAAGCAATGGAGCCACCAGAGAAAAAAAATATTCTTGGAAAAAAATAATTTAGGGATAGGAAAAATGAACAGGAAATACAGAAAAAAACTGTCCTAAAAATAAAAAAACAGTAGATGCTGTTAAGAAATAAGACCTGCGAAAGAAAATGGCACATCAATACAAAACTATAGATTCTGACAAGAAACAAGAGTTGTTAGACAAAAAGCACAAGAATCTAAAACAATGGAGGCTGCTACAAAACAAGAAGTACTTAATCCTTTAACTCCTAGAAGTGATTGACATCTAACCTCTCCCTGCAATATTCATACATTATCCAGCAAACAGGTAATGAGAATACTCAAACATATCAAGTAGAAGTTGTTGTCTTGATCTAACACCAAATTCTTGTAACTAATTTGAAAGGAAATGTTGTAGCTGTAGGGGAGATTGACTATCACATCTTGGGAGTTAAAGGGTTAAGAGATGCAAACAAAATGTGTTCGTAAGAATAAAACTGTAGATTCATGTATTGAAGAGTTTAACTGAAAAACAAAGGAAGGCCCATATTATGTATGTTGTATATGTAACTGAACACTTTACAAGAAATCTGTCTTAAAACTCAATACAACCAGTTACCCTTCTCAGGACATTTTAACATACTATCGTCATTTGATGGAAGAGAGTATATCTGTAAGAGTTGTCACTTGAAAGCTAATCGAGGCAGTCTTCTATATCAAGCAACAGTTAAAAAACTTATTTGTGGATGACATCCCAATTGAACTAGAAGATCTCAAAAAAACTAGAACAAATAATGATAGCCCAGCGCATTGTATTTGGAAAAATAATTGTAAAGCCAAAAGGAAAACAAAGGAAAATTAAAGGTGCTATATGTAATGTACCAGTAAATTGTAATCAAACATGTAACATATTGCCTCGTGCTCTAGAAAGGTGTGGTATAATACTCATTAAGTTAAAAAGAAAACTTCAGTTCAGAGGACATTTATTTTGAAGCTGTGAGACCAGAGATCTTAATGTCAGCACTCAACTGGTTAAAAGCCAATAATCCTTTGTACAAGGATATACAAATTGATTGCACAAACATAAGTGTAGAACTGACAGATATTACACCAACTTACCAACAAATACTATTAATAATCATTTGGAGAGTACATGTGAAAATGCAGTTGATATGGGACAACCTTGTGATGCCTGTTTTCTTGAGAATTCAGAATTGAACAGCTCTATAGATGCTCCTAATAATAGAACAGAACCTCTAAATGGAGATATAGAAGACCCTTTGAATGAACACAGGTCGCCTGCTAGTCAGACATGCTTGCAGTCAGTTATTCCAGATTATTATTCCAGATTATCCTATTTTAACTGAGGAACATCAATCTGATAACTCCAATGGTAGAGAAGTCTACAATATAGCACCTGGTGAAAAGAAATACTCAGCGTCTCTGATGACTGATAAACTATATGAGGAACCCCATGAAATTAATAGTTCATCTGGTAATAACCTTTGGTAGTGATTTTTTGTTGTCGCACTTTTTGTCTGCACACTACATAACAAATGCCGTTTTCAGCTCTGTATACAAATGTGAGAAACTTGCATCTCTGGGATACCAATAATTGCATTAAAAAACTTGGGAAAATACACGCAAAAAAACAAAGTTAGTCTAGTTTTTAACACTAAAGTGGATCCCCGTTTTTATTTCATTAAATACAGGAAACTTTTTTTACTCTTTTCAACGTACCGGTACTCTTTAATCCGAATGCTCCTAATTGCATTTGGAACAGATTTCATTTTCTTTCTGATTCGCGTAGACCTTTTGGGCCGTTTACAAGAGCCTCTCTTTATGACTTAAAGGTGCCATACCCACATAGTGACTCTGGGAAACGCATACTTGTCTATAGTGCCACCGAACTTTCCAATGATCTCAGTTCCGACCTTACAGAGTCCTCTACTTCCTCTTCTCCGCTGACAATCAAATCTGTTCTCTCCTCTTAAATCTAAATTACGAAATCTACCTCTCTCACGGCTATCCTCTGCCGAGCACTTGGAAGATCTACTGTGCTCGATTTGCCGCTATTCGATTCATTGTAAATGTTTTTCATAGTACCAAACACAGCCCCTATTGAGTCTTTAATACATATTTTACTCTGATTCCCTTATTATAAAATACAATTTTATGACGTGTTTATAGTCTTTCTATTTTTTTTTTTTATACATATTTCGCTCTCTTTTGTCAGTTTATATGATTTATTTACAATTCATTACGCGTTTATAGTTTATTCTAATGTAAATATCGTTTCTACTACTATATTTGCTTACTTGGTCTTCTAAATTTTTTTTCGAGGGCCGCAAGTTACAAAACTGTAATAGGTTATTGCGTTTCCTTCCAGTATAAAGTTATTTATTCATCCATTCATTCATGCGAGCCGATCGAAACAAACCCGACGGATCCTCCTACCTCTGAGTAGCCCTTCTCAGCGCCGTCAATAAAAAGTAAAGAGTTTTCGTCCACTTCAGCCTTTGTTATTCAGTGACAGGGATCTGTAACTTGTACTTCCTGTA